CTACCAGCACTTATGAACTAAGGCACCGTTAAGGCAAAACTCTATTAATTCATAATTACCCAGCAATAATTATTATATTTTCTTTTTGTCTGAACATCTGTCACCAAACATTTTCATCCTCACCGAACATCAGTCGAACACCTGCTCCTCCGAGCGCGGCTGCTGTGGGGACTCATTCTCCAGCAGGGTCTGAGGTGGCTGAAATGGGAATGAGTATCTGTGCCCTTAATTAACAAGGAAAAATCTAATAATACAAGAATCAGCTAACACCCTCTTTGTAGCTGAAACAGAAACGTGTTCTCTTTCAAGCTGAGTCCACCTCCTGAAACCATCCCAAAATGACGATCAGGACCAATTATAGTGGTGCTTTTAGCTGAAAAAGAGAGTGCTATCATTGATCTTCAGGGTTCAGAATTCTTCCTCCTCTTTGACACGTTTTATGTTCTCAAAAATCAGGATCCAAATACATCAGAGCAGTTTAAATGCTTTGTGCTTTCACTTGGCACAGGTAATTCAGCCTAATTTCCCACTCTCATTCCTAATATGTTAATGCCACCAAGCTCTTTTCAAGTAATTGTCAATTACTTTGATTGAAAGTAGATAAAATATACATGACCAAACTTAGAAAATAGTATTATTTTGTTCAATGAAAAGCTTACTAAACTATTACTGTCCATAAATGGTGACACAGTTTGAACTCCAACATGAGTTTATGTCTCACATATTTTCAGGCTTGCATTACACACTCCCAGGCTGGAAGCTAAGAGTTAGTCCTGTCACTAGCCTGACCTGAATGACACCAGAGCAAGGCAAACAGCCAACCACATCAGCAGGTAAGGCAGACTGGAACATCTTCATGTCAAGCCAGCCATTACCCTGGCTGCATCCTCATCTTCCAAAGGTTTCGTCAATGTTCTCCTTTCCAATTAGATATGCAACTGTTAGTGGTGTATGCACCTGTATCTTCAGAGCATGTTCCTGAAATGTGCTTCATTGGGAATGAAAAAGGGCATGAACAAGCTCCAGACAGTTCAGCAAAGAGCAGAAGGATTTTGCTGGCCAAGGCCCTTAACCCAGTATTGAAAGGTTTATTTGGGGCTTTATAAACTGATATAGCAACTTCAATTAAAAGTACAATATCTTGTTACTCTCTCCTTCCCATCTCCCAGGCTAAGCAAATTGTTCTTACCTGGATTCCTCAGACACATTAAAGATTACATTGTGGAGAAACATGACCTGGAAAACCAAAGTTCAGTTTACTGTTTTGAAAAGGTTCCCAAAGGTAGGTGCTACTCCACTAGCATGAAGGAAAATCTCCCTCCTCTTACGAATTTATGAAAATTTTCTATTTTCTCGTACGTTCCTAGCTCAGAAGACAAGACCCTTATTTTAGAATTTCATATCAAAGAAACATCAAACCCATTATGGAAACTCTTGACACTGTGAATGTCTCTCTGGAGGAAAGGCATCATCAGTTCTGTGCTGAAACTCTGAGAAAGGAGAAAAATCTTTCTGGTTTCCTTAAAATTCAATGGTTTCCTTACAGTTTCCTTCAAATTCACTGGCAGAAGGGGATACAAAAGACTTATCTGAAGGTCAGTATTTTAAAATATTAAAGAATGTTGAAACAACACCTCATCCCTCAGGAACAAATCCATAGTACTCAGCAGTCCACAGGGGCAGGATGTCGGTGGGGGAGGCTTGGAGAACCCACGCGTTTGACCGTAGGCTGGGCTGAACACCAAGGCCAGAACAGGTTGGTGGCAGCACAAACTGCAGATGATGACTTCAGTCTCCAGGTCCACCAACAGCACAGAAGACTAGTTAACTAAACGACTCAGAGCAAATTGCTTAGCTTCTAAGCACCACGTAGAAGATTCAGTTTCCAGAGACTCTGTTCACCTGGTAAGTAAGGTGTGCAGAAAACGTGACCGTGAAAATGTGAAACAGCAAGGAACAAGAGAGCTGCTCACTTATGCATGCAACGCACAGACGCACACAAGCTTCTCAAGGAGGAAAAGATTCCATTAACAGTGCTTGTTTCAAAGAATGAAGACTCTCTATGGGTGCCAGGGGAGGTGATTTGGTGTGATGCAAAAACGACTGGATTGCTGCAGAGCTACAAATTGAGCAGAAGAAACAAGATGTAAACTTGTTTGCAATGATCTCACACCTCTCAAAAGATTCAGCTTTCTTTCGGGTAATTAAGACAAAATTTTTATTTCCCATCATTTCACTTTTCCATGAGCTACAATAAAAATCTGAGGGTCTCTTTTTCCATGTACCCATCCTTCCACGTTACCCAGACTCCACTGTGACTGAGAACAAAGTCTCGACTATTCATGGTGTGCGATATAAAACAAGCTCAGCTTTAATGTCCCAGGATTCCAAGACAAAATTAATTGGCAGGCTAAAAGGAAATAAATCTCCAGAAACAGATGCACCTGGTGAGCAGCACATTGCTGCATTTCTGCCTCTGAGCAGCACTCAGTGAGAAGGACTGGGGGCTCAAACGACCCGGGGGAATGCGATCGCAGCATCTACACCAACACACTGAATTATTAACTCTATGATTCCATATCATTTTATGAGTATTTATCCGAATATGATGACCTAATTACTCATTAGGTACTTTGACTATCTAAGGAGGTTTGTGTACCTTGCCAATACTCAGGCAGACACAAACTCTTGAGGAGCTGCCACTTTATGGAAGTGTGGCTCCTATAGCACCAGTGTTTTCAGTTCCCTTGCACCACATCAGATCTGCTCCTGCCCTTTGGTCTAATCTTAGATGTTCTGTTCTTTACCTTCTTTAGTGGTACTTTCAATTGAGTTACCTGACTATGGAGATATTTTCATGACAGTTCATGTATGAATACTATTTCTGCATCCCACTCTGAGAAATGAACTGGAAATGAGCTCTGAAGCTGTAAGTAAAGAGCTTCAAGCATAAAACATTTCCAAACCCTGTAAATATCAAATAAATAAAGTACTGCTTGTGGAGAAACAATTAAATAAGTTTTCCCAAAGAAAAAATGCACTGATTTCATTGCTGAGGAAAAAATGTTTCTGGTTTTGGATGGGTTTTTTTTCAAGTTGAAAAAGAAAGTAGCAATAGTTTTGACTGTACAATTCCAAAGTAAGAAAAAGATTCTGATGCAGCCTACACTTGTGCCATGGAATACCACGTGTGGCTGAGTCAGTGGAAAACTTACCAGAATCAGCCTTTAAATCTCATTTGGGATCTATGCTGATTTTTGCCTATTTAACACTACAGTCAATGTGTCTTTTTTCCCCACAGCAGTTCCCAATTTCAATTTTGTTATTCCTTTTCAAGACAAAACAGTTTTTCGGTTGAAGAACACATTGCTGCAAGGGACCTACAGAATCAGTGCTGTCTACTCTGAGATTCCTTCACCTGCCAAGCCAGTTCAAGCCCAGCACTAGTTCCATTGGAAGTTTGCAGCTGAACTTCACACTGCCAGAGATCTCCTTTTCAGCCTAAAATTTATTGGTGCTCCAGTGCATCCATTCATTAAGACTCTCCTTGCTCTGTTCATAAACACAGTTGCATATAGTTTTCCTTTGTTAAAGTCAAGCCAACATGTTCAGTGCATCTTTACTCCTGCTGCATTTCCTCAGTCTCTGCACAGTAAATATTTGCTGCACTTCCAGTAATCCAGACTGGATTGCAACAGAACTGTATAATGCTCTTAAGATTCTTTCTGTTTGGAAACATCTCTTGCTATCTTGTATAGATTATTTATACACATACACACAACCCCCAAGTCTATGAACCTGTTTGTGAAATTGTTCTGTAAATTATCTCTTTTCTTAAAAGAGATCTGATTTCAAGACACTGAGAATTACTCACAGCTTTATGACATGCATAAAAATTCACCCTGTGCATTTCTTGGAGCCTGCTATTCCTTCCGTAAACTGGTGGATTTTTTTAAGGTAGTCTAGATTGATGTTGTTTGTAAATGGGATAACCTGAAGCATTTTACTGAAAAGCAACTACATTCAATGCCGAATCGATACGTGGCCATCTCTAATACCCTAAACCTGAATTCTTTTCAGAAGGGGAAGTATTTTACCCTTCAGAAGAGGGTAAAAGAATAGTGACAGAAAATGTAAGAACTTGAGCCACTGCAGTCATCCTGCTGATACCCACTGCCCACAAAACTGCACAGCACTGTGCCACCACACAGCTGCACTGCAGGAGAGCCTTAGGATCCAGTGAGACTTGGGCTACCTCTTCCTCCTTTTGTGGGGTTGGGCTGGAGGTTTTTTGCAATCAAAGGTCTATGTCCAGATATAATACCACTACTAAAGAATCTGTTCATGGCATTGTTTACAAAAGTTCCTAACAGACAGTGACTATTTTATTGTTGAATGTATCCTTTATTTTATTAATGATGAGAAGAAATCAATGGAATGCTAAAAAAAAAACCTTATAAAGAAAGCTAGTCTGAAATCTGAATGTGTGGTTTGAAGTTCAGTGGTCATGGTAACACCAGGTGAGAGTTGACTCCTGCCCACTGTGAACAGGCATGGCTCTTCTAGAAAGGTCACAAACTCATCAGATATAGGCACCATGTTTAGATTTTGCACATACAAAATATGTCCATGTCACTCGGGTTACACAATGTGGCAGTGCTGTAAGTCTGATCGTCACTGTCGATTAATGGCAGAGAAGAGCCCAGAGCTCACATCAGACTAATGACTGGGGCAAATCCAGGAAAGAGACAAGGAGTATAAACCAGCAGGTTTCCTGCTGCCTGTGGATCTGTGTGTGCATGTGCCAGAGTGCATTTAACAAAACGTTTGAGTGAGTTCAGGTAAGAGCCCATCCAGTCGCTCCCAGCGTCTCCGCCGGTGTCACGGCGCAGGCTTTGATTTACCTGCACGGTGAAACGCAAATTCGGACCCCGTTCAGCCATTAGTTAGTGTGTTGTCGACTGGTTCAAACCTATCAAAATTGAGAGTTACAGCTGAATGTCTTCCTTTAACCTACTTGTCAGCCTCTGGGTATGTTGGATACTTGACTGTCTCAATTTTCTCCTTAACTTTGTAGGAAGGGTACAGGCCTGTTCTTCCCAATTTCCTATTGATGCCCTTTGAATAACCATCCCAGTGGTTTCCAGCTACTCCAATTATATCTCCAGGTTCCATAGGAATTTCATCAGCAGTTCGTGGATGATGAGCATAAATAGCAATCTGGTTGTGAGCGTTCTGTCCCCCAAAGTAATAGATATCATCCAAAGAATGGAAATACGCTGAAGCATCTGGATGCAACGTCTGCATGATTTCATAGGCAACTCGACAGACCTTAGAAACAGAAAAGAAGTCATCAGCACTGTGCATGCCTGAAACACACCACAGCTCAGCAACGAACGCACAGACAGCAAACCTCCCAAGAGGAGCAAGTTTTGGAATCTTCAGGTCAAAAAAAGGCCACAATTAAATAAAAAACACTAACCAAAAAAATCTCTGAACATTTACTAACAAGAAGCATGAAATTTTACAGCTTTTTAATTAGTCCTCTGATGATCAGATGTGGTAAGCAAATAAAGCAATACACAAATAGTTAGAACAGTCTGCCCTTCAGTAAAAACCAAACACATCTAAACAAACACAGCAATCCTGAAAATTGCAGTACTGAAAGATCTGCAGCTAATCAACTCTCACAGCAAATTCATTTCCTTTCACTACTACTGCTAAGAACTGTACTTTACTTCCCTCTGAACCTTCAGAACTCACATTTTCCAAATTTATCCTGCAATAATGAGGCTTTACATTTTACTTTTCTAAAGAAGTTCCAATTTCCACAACCACGCAGATCCACAAGTCCAAGGCTCTAGAATGCTGCTGCTCCTAGAACTGTGATAGGTTTATGACTGTTGGCAACTGAGAAGCCAAATGAATGAAACTGAATTCCAGCAAGACAATAACGACGTTGGTGAGAAAACAGATGCATTTCTACTAGGCACTGTGCCCCACTTCACGAAGGGAATTATCTTCAGACTGAGGCAGGTCCCACATCAGAGCTGTGCTGCACTTCTCAGAGTTGCAAGAGACACCACAGAACACAGCATTAAACAGAGCTCTGTCCAACACCTGGCTAGAACACTCCTGGCAGGTCTCTGAATCGGCCACTGTGACTCATCTCCATCACTGCATCTCTCCCTGACTTTGCCCGAGTTTGCTGAAGGTTGATAAACTGTGTTCGTACACAGCAGATTTCTTCAATATGAAGAAGCATTTGAACTTTTCCACAATTTTCAGCCTATGTAAATAATACAGTGAATAGAACTTTGATCAAACCAGATGCAGTTGTACTTTCCTAGCTTCTTCAGAGGTATTTGCTTTAAAAATGTAGTAGATTTCCTTTCACCCCTCTCCATCTGAACTTTCAAGTAACTTTCAGAACAGACTGAAATTAATTATTTCGAAGGACTATAATACAGAAACAAGTTTGATTCCTCATACGTTGGTAAAAGGTTATTTATTTTACAGCTTCTGTGGCTGTTTTCTGGTACTCTCTTCTCTGTAAGTGCGTGTACCCCAGGAAGAGGAGACACACACCGCAAAAGATTTTAAACCTCTTCAGTGGAAATGCTTTTCAGCATATCACTCAACATCTCCTCTCAGCAGTTGCTTCCTTTGCAGCACCAAACGTGGGGTATCAGACTAAGCTGCTGAGGACAGCAGGCAACAGATCCACAGACAGAGCTCTGGCTAGAGCCAAATCACATCTGTTAGTCACAGATTCACTTGTTTTGCAGCCTCTGAACTTACAGGGACAATGCAAAACACAAAGACTAATAAACCCTGGAAGGAAATGAGATTAGGAAGAGAAATACATCAGTCAGAGGGAGCTATGACTTCATCTGAGTAAAGACTGATGAGACAAAAGATGTTTGCATTCATGTGGAATCTTAATTCTGTTACTGGTTGTGATTTCTTTCCTCCCACGTTGTCTCTCCATACATCTCACTTAATGCAGTGTTGCTGAAATGCAGTGCCAAGGGAAGTGTTTCCTTGACTCCACAGCACTTCATGGAACTAATGTCTTAACCAGTTTTTTAAGGAATTATCTGTTCTTCAGCTTCTATCAGTGCTCCTTTAGTTTTGGCAGCATAACACCCAATTAACACAGGGAAATTCCTGATTCTACTCACATCTAGAGTCATTTTCTCCTAATAACTCTGCGATGAAGTTTTGACTCTTTTTAAGAAGGAAAGAAAAATAGAGAAAAAAGTCAGCATACAATAGATTAACGAGAAAGTCCAAAATCTCCCTGGACACGAATCAGACAATATTCTTATCCTTCCTTTCCATACATATTGGACAAAAGATGCTCATTAACTAGTCATTAATTAGCCTGACTTTGCTTAGCTTCAAGGCCAAAATAACAATCTAATGGTTTGCTTCACTGATGAAAGGACAGGGATCGCAAGACAAATGTTAAGAGGAGGGAATCAAATTTTAAACTCATGAAAGAGAAAACTTTATGAGTAGAGGGAAAACTTGCTACTGACCTTAGAAAAGCCCAATAGATGAAGATTCTGTGGAGCTGCACATTGCTGCATGCCCAGAAAAACTGATGTTAAATGACTTCTGAGGAGTTTAAATGACTAAAGTACAAAATATTGCCCAGAGTAAATAAGTAAACGATTGGATGAGATTGTTACTCCATCTACTCAGAGCAGCAGTCTAATACAGGATTTCCTATACCTTAGCAGAATTTGCTGCACCTCTGGAAAACCAAACATGTTATTCAACAAACACATCTATTGCCCAGGGCACGGCGAGGCAGGAGGAGACCTGAGCTCAGACACCCTGTACCTCAGAGGAGCTCTCCAAAGGGTTGTACCAGATGAACTCCAGAGGTCCTGACCAACCTGCATCACCTTAACTGTGCTGAGGTATGTTAACACATATTCTCCTTTCAAAGTGACTCCAAGCCTCAAAATTCAACTACAATATATTTTGTCCAAGCCATTTGTACCTGTATTTAAACTATGCTTACACCCAAGGTTTTAGTCCAAGCAAACATTTATCACTTTTAGTGATACATGAAATTAATGTACAATATAATGGATAAAGAAAAAAATACCAACAATGACAATTATCTGACTGAGTTTTCTATTGGACTCCACCTCTCTTTACCACACCACTCCAAAAAGGAAGCTTGTAGCATATATTTATGTGCACAAGGAAGTCTCTACAGTTGTCAGAATTCACATTTGCTGTGCTGCCACTGGATTGCTAGAAATGGAACAGACTGAAGGGAAACTAAATACCTGTGCTCTCCGTTCTTTCTACTTCCCACCACCAGCTCAGGCAACAGCAGACACATCTGAACTGAGCAGAGTGCAAATGTGTGTAGAAATGGATGGACACAAGTTATATATGTTAACTTGATGCAATATTAAGGTGCTAAACATGTTTACAAATATTTTTACCTATTTTAAATGCCTTAACAAAGCTACATGGGAATGGATGGTTATGAGTTACACATTAAGTTTATGCAAAACAACAAACTCTTAAACATGTTTAATATTTTTTCTTGCTTATTTCAAATGCCTAAATTAAGGCAGTAACTTTGATCAAAGAGAACTAGTCCAGCAGTGCCTGCAGCCCTCTAAATGTTCACACAGCACACCAAGCCTTTTGCTCCTCCCTGGCATTTTCACAAGACAATAAAGACAACAGGAGCATAAGAGGATAACAGTAATTTCTTAATGAAGAAGGCTAAGATTTAGAGCTGGCACATCTAATCTCTATTGTATTTGCACTGCAGTTACCTGGGAGGAAAAGGTGCAGACCAGGAAGTCTGCCTGGGACAAGAAGTGAATGTCCAGGATGACACCCCGGAGGGAGTTCTCGGTGTATCGGTTGTGAAGTCCTGCGGACCAGGAAATGGAGTTATCACTGATGAACTCATAATTTGGGTACCTGGGGAGACACAATGCACTGTTAACAACCAATTCTTGTTCTATTTACCTATCTGGTTTTTTTAAAAGCATCATCTTTGCTGCAGGGTAAAGTTGTTCACTTGGTTTAGGTGAGTCTCTGCCTTACAGGAAACTGATTCTACTCTTGCTGACCCTTGGGGTGCCAGTGCTGCCTCCAGGCATGTCCTTCCTTTCTGTACAAGAAAACAGGTTTGCTTCCTTCAGACTGCAAAAATCAGAGTCCACATGCTGAGCAGAGACAAGAGAACTTTTCATGAGGCATCTGATTTCTGACCAGCAAAAGACCAGTCTAATGACTTTGAGGAATGAAGCACACCAAAAAAAGTGCCATACTGGACATGTTAGAACAAAAAAGAATTATTTACACATACTCAGTGTGACCAAAGAACCTTCTGGTCCATCCTGTCTCCAACCCAGGCTGAGAGCAGAGTGTAATGCAAGCACAGACAAAGGGCAGCACATACCCCTGAGCTGCATGTGGCCACTGACTTCCACGAGGTGAGGTTTAACCTCAGCTCCACTCACTACAGAGCCCCAGGTTCTATTTAAAGCTACTCTTGCCACAATGCTGCAAAGAATAGAGGAAATGAGACTCCTCAGGCTCTATAGCTAGCTATTGCTTCCTTCCACTCCCCCCTCCAGCTGTATTTATATCATCATTACTGGAACACTCACACTGTAAGCTTTAGGGGAAAAGGAGAAATCAGAAGGTGGGGAAGAGACAGTTAAAAATCTTCCTTCCTGCACCTGCCAGCCTCAGCCACAGATACAGACCAAGCACAGTTATGGTGCTGTTTCAGGTTTCAGTTGGTTCTGGAAGATGATCACCTAGCTGTGTAACTATAGCTCGTTCCTGCAAGCACAAAACAAGGCAAGTTCAGGCTCCTGTTCTCAGTTTGCTAGGTCTGAAAGTTTCCAGAACAGGCAGTGCAAATGTTCTTCCCTTGGAAAGAAGATTGGGAGCATGTAAACACATGGAGTAAGAAATAATGTGTTTGCTCAGGTCTTGCTGTAAAAAATATTGCAGAATGTATGGGCAATTCATTAGATTCGAGGACTCTGAAGCACTGATGAATTTTATACATCAGGCATACTGTGACTCGTGAGCTGAACTCTGTACTATGTGCACTACAGATGACACATAGGGAGAAAAGACTTCAGCTAGCTATTGTGGAAGTAAATACACAGTGGGGAGAAAAAAAGAAAAAAGATTACTTTCCAGGTAAATATTCCAGAAGGAAGAATGCAATTTGTTAGATTTTCTGCTAATATATACATGTCTGAGGATGAGACCTATATAGATTCATATATGAGCCACAAATATACTATATATGGTTTCTTAAGAATTTATGTGCACAACCAGCATACTCTACCTAAAGGAGTGAAGACACTATCAGCAGCATTATAGACTAGATATACATATACTAGACATTCAACCATTTGCATCTTGAAACTATTAAGTCAGCCAGAGAAAAAGCAATTTACACCATCTCTAACACATCCCTTATCTGACAAAAGCCATGACTTGTGCTTAGCAAAAGCTGCCAAATGCTTTCATGTCACAACCACTGCAGCTGTGGAACCCTCAGCCACGAGACTCTCCACTCACAGAACCCTAACTCTGAAAATGTAGCACTTCTTTCCTTCTTTGGGAACTCTTCCAAACAAAAACGTCTACAAACTGGTAGCAGTGACTCCCATCTCTGCTGCTGGACTGTGGCTGGCAGGCATCTGACTGCAAGGGAAGTTTCTGGAACTCAAGTCCAAACATTTCTGTTTGCATGACTATGAATAGCTTAAAATGCTTCTCCTGACAGAAACAACATGTGTTGGCTAAGTTTTCATTATTTAAGTGCCAGCACTGACAGCCACTCACTCATGTGGTATCTAGCATGTACCAATATCACTGCACTGAGTAATGAAGGCAGCATAAGCTGCCGCAGTGTGACAACTGTTTCCCTTACAGCTTGGTAGTTCAGTGTGCCAGAACATTTTTGTCAGAAGTGTAAACTAATTTGTAGCTGATTTCACATGAAGCTGAAAGTTTTCTTTACTTTCAAAACATGACCTTAACCTGCCTTAGATACCCCCAAATGCTGAAACATCAAACTGCATCCTGCCTCCTGCGAAGTCACAAGACTTTCCGGTTCCTTCCACGCGACTGCAAGCAGCAGCAGGGTGTGAACACCTCGGGGAGTTGTGCTGCAGTGTAAGCTCTGACCTGAAAACTCAGCAGCAACACAGAAAACATTCTTGACTGCTCACAGATTCTGTGTCTCTTATTAAGGAAAATCCCAAACGAATGCTGTGCTGTGGAGCTGCACCTTTCCACACCAACACTGCAATCGGAAAATCCCAAACGAATGCTGTGCTGTTGAGCTGCATCTTTCCATACCAACACTGCAATTTGAAATGGACTGTGATGCCTAATGAAATCCACTACCATTTCACTGAACCACTCACAACTCTAGAATGATTTCCTGTTGATACTGAACTCGTGGCTGATATGTTCACACAGGTAGAGCATCTCATCATTCACAGAGTGCTAAGGGTTGAAAGTTACACACAAATGAAGCGAAACTGCATAGCTAAGATTGCTAGAGCAGTACTGAACTGTAATGTTACAACAATAATAAAAGTTGTTTAGTAATATGTAGATGTAATGAATTAACTCTTATAACATCAATTTTGTATTACCTATCTTTTCTTTATTCGGATTTGCACTTTAAATGTTATGTTATCATAATTTCTGCTGCTGTTGTTGTCTCTACACGTGTAAAAAAGGAAGGATGAGGTTGCCATCATCTGGAGCTGTGTATGCTCACTTAGCTTTACAAAACCCCACAATCCTAAGGAGCAGCCCTTTGCAGGAATAGGAGTCAAACAGAAACAACACAACTAAAATACACAGGTTTTCAAGGCTGCAGAAAATTCCTCTACTACAAATTAATCTTGTCTGCTTACCACAGAATCATAGAATTTAGGGGTTGGAATGGACCTTAGAGATCATCCAGCCCCAACCCCTGCCCTGGGCAGGGACACCTCCCACCAGAGCAGGTTGCTCAAGGCTCATCCAACCTGGCTGTGAACCCTGCCAGGGTTGGGGCAGCCACAGCCTCCCTGGGCAACCTGGGACAGTGTCTCACCACCCATAGAGTAAAAAACTTTTTTTCTAGTATCTAACTTAAACTTCCCCTCAAAGTTTAGGTTATATGTATATGCCAAAGAAAGTTTGTTAGCCATGTTATCTTAAATGTTTTTCCAAGACTGTCTATCAAAAATAAAAAAGTTCAAAATTTTACCACTTTGAATTTAAAAAGTATTCATGAATTAATTAAAAGTTTTCATTTACAAGGAAATACAGGCCGTGTTAGGAGTAAGTGAATGTGCATCCATGTTCTAGAGAGCTCAAACAGGACAAAAGCAAAGAAAAGGGACAGAGACACAGTCACAGGTGTGACATGGATTTAAGGACAAACTTTAAAATTATTCAAGTAGGATGAAAGTCTTCTAAGGTGCCAATACAGAAATCTTTCTGGAAGACTCTTCAGAAGCTTTTCAAAACAATTTATAAAAATTTCTCTGGCAATTCTTCACAGAAAGGTATTTTTGGCCAGGTGAAACCTCTTAACATATTAAGCAGATTTTACAATATTCCTAGACAGATTTTAAAACATATGTTCTACCAGAAGTTCAGTGCATTTATTGCTTATATTTTCCCCTCCCTTTTACAGCACTGATTTGTTTTTAAATAGCCACAAGTGTCTTGCTCAGCAGTTCCAGACTTTTAACACTAAGCAGTGAAAAGCATCCTTGGGAAAAAAAAAAAATCCATGAACAGCACGTCTGAGAAAAATCCAAAGCACTGGAAAATGAAATGCAATCTTAACTGAATGAAGGAGAACCAAAAAACCCACACTCAAATTTGTGTGCACAACAGTCAGAAACTGCAGAGTTAACCAGAAGGAACAAACTGTAGTACAAACATAATTCATCTTACTTGGACTTTGCTTCTTGCAGCAATGAAGGGTCATCTGTGGCCAAATACACTCGTTTCTTGTCCACGTGCATCCTGCGAGCGAGAAGTTCAAACCTCTCTTCCACGTGCACCATGTACTCCTCAATGGGATGAAATGCTGCCTCTGTCCCCACCTTGTCTGTCCTTCGGACGTGAACGCTGGAAAAAGGGACAAACTAGGAATCCAACTGATAAACACTACACATACCTTAGCCAACGCAACGAACTCCACGTTTTACGCCTGAGCTTTTAGAATGCACGTTAAATTGAATCCCTCCATAAAACCAGGAAGGAGTAAAACTCATCCATGGCTGTCAACAACACTGACAACACAAAGTGAGCTGTCAGTCTGGTCTAGAAAGTGACACGATAATCTTGCAATGAAGGCAAAGGGGAACGGAAAGAATGAAGGATATTGACTTATAGCATATAAGGTGTTCCCTTTGCGCAGAAGGTTAAGTTACCTGTTGGAGTTAGAGAATGCTTGATCAATACAGCTCAAAGGAGAAATAGGACTATTTGCATCATGGATATATTGGGATGCCAACTACAATGCACAGTTTGAACCAAGGGAGTTATGCATCTTTCTGAACTCCTTTAAATTTAACTGGTCTTCAGCTGCACCAGTGGTGAAGCAGCCACACTGACTCAACAGTCAAAAGCCAACTGACACTGAAAAACTAACAAGAAAGCTTCAGGACTGAAGAAAAATTCGGACAAAGGAAGCAGTACTTGCAGACTCTCATACCACAACACAACATTTTTCACGTGACATGACAGCAAAAGCTTCCACAAGCTGCTCTTTATTGCCCAGAGGTGCTTTCCTTCCTTCTCCCCAGATCTGCACACAGAGACCTTTCCCACTCACGGCTACTGTTA